TAGATTCAAAACAAATGAGCGTATATATACATCCTGAATAAACTACAACTCACCGTGTACGGCTTCTTCCACACTTAAATTGCAACGGGCGTGTTCTACAGCAGCCATCAATGTTCAAAATTTCTTTGAAGCCATTATGACTATTATGAGCACCTAGATCTCTACTACGGACGCGAGCAACCGACCGATTCGAAAGTTTGTTGATATCGATCTGCCTACCGGTGACCGCGACCTACGTATAAATGACATTTCCGGGAATTTCCCGTTTATTTATAACATCAATAGTCACACTTACGAATAAACTGAAATCGAGGTGAATCTCCAACGTATTTCTGTTCAATCGTCTCGTTTGCCCATGTTGCTTAGACTACAGAGACTACTATGACAGGGCCACGCTTTCGGTCGTTCGCCAGACGAAACATTTTTCACATTCTGTTCAGTATTCATCGTTCCACTAAACTTTAATTATCTGGTTTATCAAATTGTATTTATTCTATGCTTCTACAATCTTGGACACAATAAATGGAACATCTGGACCACCCCTCCCCCCCATTTCAATGATGCCAAAATGGCGCGTTTTTGCTCCTTCGCGCCTTCATCATTGCTTTGGGGGGAGATGGGGGATAATTGTTCCATTTTATTCTGTCCAGGATTGTAGCTTTTCCCACGCAAACTAGTACAAGGAAACTGAGCCACCCAACCCTTTTCGCTGTTATTAACATCCAAACGCTGATCCCTACCCGTTCAAACCAAACCAAAGACTCGAGGATTAATCAAGTTGAGGCGTTGTTTAGCCTTTGGACGAAGACCTCCAATTAAGGCCCCAGATATATGGTCTCGGGTACCCGAGACAACCCTCCCCCTGAGGCAACTTTAGCGAGGAGGTGAACAGCATCCATATGTGAAAACGTAGTTCCTGTAGGCCGAGTCAAAGTTGACCCTGCATGATTATTCATAACCCATATTGAATAAACGAATGTGCAAATATCCCTCTTTCTTTGAGTTTCCCTCAGTCAGTCAAGCACAGTGGGTTTTGCCGTGTTAATTTTCACTTCTTCAGATACGAATTTCTGCTTTAAATCTTAAATCTAGGCATTACGTGACACTCGC